CCAGTCTCCCGGCAGTTGGCAGAATTTTTTCCCCGAAGCTCTAACGGTGTAGTCGCCCCTCATTGGCGGCACAATTGGTTCGTCGAACGACGTTTCATCGACAAATCGTTTCATCAACACGCGAGGTTTAATGAAAAAAAGTCAAAATAGCTTCTTTTATTTTTTTGCAGACTCAGCAACTTACGTAGCACGAGAACGTTCTTAGAACATTCCGGAAATGTTCAAAAGAACAAAGGCAACAATCTTGGAATGTTGAAAATTTACACTAGGATATTCTATCAACGTTGTCAGAATGTGGCACATGCACTTATCGCTACATTTGGGGAATGTTTTTTTAGGGGACATTCTTAGAACGTTCTGAGAACGACATAGAACATAACCAGGACATCCAATCAACATTAATATATCCTAAGAAGGTTCTAAGAATGTGCTCAGAACAACCTAAAAACTTCTGCAACTTCCTTGGTGATGAATCCAAGAATGACCAACAACAAATGCAAAAAGGAGCACAGCACGCGCAACACGGAATGCGCATCCGGTGTAATCTATGAAATTCCGCTTTCTTGCGGGCGAGTATACATTGGTGAGACTGGACGTTGTTTCAACCTGAGGGCACGTGAACACTTTCTGTCGATAAAAAACAACACAGGCGGAAATCTGCCAGTTCATTCTTTGAAATGCGGTTGTCATCCTGATTTGCAAAGGACACGTGTTCTCGCAAGACCAAATGGGGCAACGGAGAGAAAATTCGTAGAAGCCTACTTCATTAAAAAGAAAGGTCACGACTGCATAAGCATGCAATCTCTTTCGCTATCACACAAAGAATTTTCTTTTTTGGATGGTCATGTTTAAACCTTATTTCGCCGCAAACTGATTGCTGCTGTTATATATACTGGTGTGCCTGCGCCAAACAAGCAGTTGGAAGTCTGCGCTCCGTGTGTCGTACTCGTTTCTACCTCTGTCCTCGTCCTTTGCGCAGTTCATTTATTTCTACAAATGCTATTATCGCTAGTTGGACTATTTTTCCCGAAGAAAATTGTGATTTTGCGATAAAATAACCGTCTTTCCCGCTCTCTTTGCTGGTACGCAATATCTCTGTCGCCTGTCGCCTGTCGAGTTTTCAGTTACATTTGTTGACCACGAAGATATTTATTTCAAAGGCTGAATACACATGACATATCCCATAAACAAATTCACCTTTCATGGAAGTTTGCTTTTTACTCTTCTTAGTCTGCGAGGAGGCGGCCGTCACTCTAGAAAAAACCTGTAGTACGAACATATATATTACGCGAAAGAAATGGCAAGGCCGTGTTCATTTTGATATGTGATTATATTGTCGAAATTCAACTAATTTTATGTAGTTCGCCCTTTTACTGCAATATTTTCGAGTTGTATTTACTAATGATTTTTACTCTGAACAAGAAAACAAAATATCGATACAATCACTCTTCAGTGTGCCGTTGTTAGAACGACCAATTTTCAGCTCTCTGGGTAGAGCTCAAAGTTCAGAAAAATACCCACCTATTTTTTTTTGCCTACTGCTGTGATGTTCAAGTTCCCTTCACTCGAGATAAATATGCGGTGTTGTAACGTTGTGTCCACATGCGGAAGTATTTGAGTGTATTTTAGAGCTGCAGGGAAAGCGTACAAAAAAGAAGAAAAAGAAAAGCGAGCCAGTCTATAGACCGACACACTGTTTACAAACACGTCCGCGTTTGCCCAGACCAGGTGTGGGCACTGCGCGTGCGCAGAAACCGAATTCGCGTCAAGTGAAGCGTCTGCGCATGCGCAGTGCCGTCTACAGCGCCACCGCAGCTGCGTGACGTCAGGGCCGCGTGTTGGTCCATAGCCCGCCCCCTTCCGAGCTCATATCCAGCGTGCCAGACTAATCCCTGTTGTTTTGGAATGAAGCAGAGAACCATGAAAAGTTCCAAAGGTTGTGTCCGGGTGCCGGTAAGCGCATTAGCACTCGTGCGAGAAGGACGTGAAAAGCAAGGAGGAAAAAAGAGCAGGAAAGGGGAGGAGGAAAAAATGAGAGGAGGCAGAATCTTCTGCCACGCTGAGAAACTTTTCGATCGCCCTTCTTTAAACATTAGTGGAAGTTAATCGGCTCCAGATCACGTGGCCTCTGGTGGCTGCGAGTTGAGAGGGTGAGCGCTGTTGTGTTGATGGTCTAGTCGTTAATGTTCTAGTTGGCGTTGTAAAGGCCCTGTCACACTGAAGCAACACGACGGCAACAGCAACACAACACGTTGTCCAACAGTCGGGCAACTTGTTGCTGGCTCCCCATGTTGTCCGACAAACCCGTCACATCGCGGCAACAGCACGACAACATGGACGACAACTAAAATGTTGCCTCGGTATGACAGCTTTCGGCAACAAAAACAGCAGCAACTTGTGTCGGACAACGTGTGTTGCCCTCATCGCTGGCTGAGCGAATTTTAGGCCGGCAACACGACAACATAGATAGCTTCGATGGTAGAGCTAGTCCCCTATCAATAACGTGTTAGTTAAATAAAGGCTTGGAAAATGTTATTTAACAATAATTACGGCTGGCGTGCAGCTAAAATATTTTCGAGTAATGTTTTTGCTGCGTAGTTACGGAAAGCGATTTTTGAAATGGTCACAGCTAAACGTTCAGACTAGTTTTGAAATTAGTATTGCCGAGAGACCAGCTCACATTACTGATAGTAAAATAAACTGACATGCCTACTCACCCGCTGATGAAGTATGATAAAAATAATCAAGAAAACCAAAGATTAAAAAACCTAAGCATTAAAACGACCATTCTGATCATGATTGTTGATGCTTGGAACTTGGAAACAGCCACTACCAGACCCCTGATTTGTTTTCAAAATACCCGGGACGTTTTGGGGGAACGAAGCGATCATATAGCAGGCGGTAGGCAAGTAGACAGCGTTGAAAAATATTTATTCCACCAATTGTTATGAAGGCCGAATGTGTCGGTGTCGCAGTTTTGAAGCACTGTCAGTTCAGCTCAACACCACGCTACAAAAGACGCTTTGGGGTACTGCCGGCCCTACCTCAATTTTCCAGTAGACATATGAATTGCATGAAAGAACCGGACAAAAACACTTCATATGCTGGCGTAAATCCCGAAAATATATCAGCGATGTCACTTTCCTCAGTTAGGGCTATCTGCTTTGTCAGCGAATGAAGAACATTTTGATAAAATAAAGAGCGGAAAATAATCTCCGCGTCAAGTTTTCTAATCGCAGTCACTGGTTGATGTCGTACCGTGGTAATTCCTGGCCCTTCGAACGCACTTGCACTTTGTAGAGTCATATTTCCAGCGATTCCGCGTCGCACACGAACGTAGGTAAACAATCAAGATGGCGGAGTGTTCCCCGTGTTGTCCTCGCCGTCAGCGCGGTGTGGCAGGGTTGTCGGACAACAAATCTGGCAACACGGTTGCCGGGCGGTAGCAACATGTTGCCCGACTGTTGTTGTTGCCACGACTTTCCCGTTTTGCCGGATAGAGTTGTCCAACTGTTGCCTCAGTGTGACAGGGCCTTAAAGGGCAACTCCGCTTAATTTAAAAAATTTTGAGATAGTGGCCGATTTTGCTTTTTGAAGCACTCAAAAAATCCCCAATCTTTTGTTTCGCGAAAAATAAAATATTTTTCGTGTAATTTTAGTCTAGCCATGATCACAAACTGAAACCGAAACCGTGGCAAAGCCGGACAACATTGTATATTCGGCATCACTAAGCATGTACACCCACGTGATATACAAGGGGAAGAAGGAGCTCTCCTCTTATCAGGATCCTCCTTTGTGCCTCCTGGATTAGCACAGGCGTCGCTATTCTCCTCCCAGAAGGTTATAGAAGATTAACCTGTCACTCAAAATTCTTACAAAAGCAGCTTCCCTCTCCTCCTTTTACTTGGTGTTCAAAAGTATGCGATGTAACACAAGCCGCGCTCAACGAGGCGATCGGCTTATCAGTAGTATCAATAGTCGAGCGCCGGGCCGGCCGAGCGCGTCACTCACGTCTTTCACGGCGCTAGCGCCACCCGTGCTCTCACCAAAAAAGAAAACAAAATTGAAAAAAAAAAAGAAGAAGAAGCTTTACATGTTTGATGACGTCGCGGACGTGCCGGGAGAAGGAATTTGGAGGAAGCGGAAATGCAGCCGGGCAGTGTTGTCTGGCCCGCACGTCTCATCCAAAACCAGCGGATTCGTGCTTGTCAAACTTTGACCGGCGATTTTAATGAACCTCTAGGCGGAATTCCGTCGTAATATTTGCCATGGGGGTTTTGTAGATGATAACAAAGAGAACTGTATAGTTTTGCACTACTGGAAAAGGAGCGGAGTTGCCCTTTAAGGCGCCCGTCGTCGACGTTGCGAAATCATCGAAAAAGATCGCCAGCTGCTCGCAGGGGCCAGCTGCGTGCGAAACACAGACGTTACTGAGCCCCAGCTAGGCCACACAGTTAACAACCCGTTTAATATATGGGGTTTTTGTAGTACGCGATGCCCATTGCAAGCGTCCTCTGGAAGACAAATGGCCTATAACGAAATGTCGTTGTAGCACTGTGGATGCCAAAAGCTCGTGCAGAAAGAAGCGCTTTTACACGCACTGGAGCAGAAAAGAAACACAATCCTTCGAAACTAGGTCAGTTGTCTATTTTGTTCCAAAAAGCTTTTGTTCGTACACCCTACGTTGCATGAACGCGACGCTGATACCCAACGGTTTCGCCGTGACATCGCCGCTATCGCTTTGTATACTGTAAATTTGCACAGAAGTGCGAATTTTTTTTTTTTGCGTATTTTTTTCTGCGATTGCTATTATGTGGAGAAAGAAAATACTACGAGAGCTTTGTAGGTTGTGACTGTCGGGGGATATTTCTAAGCGGTATCTACTGGAAGTACAAAACTTGTTGCATCTCCCCTTTAAACTGCAGCTAAATGCTCGCTTATCTTTTCGCAGCTCTGGTTTTCTAGCTTTTCCAGTGAATCTCACGGCGTCGTTTTTACAGGACGCATATCCTGGTGTGACCACTAGATCACGTGGAACTCGGAGCGCGCATCCGGAGCAATCTGGTTAACGGCACTGCCATGGCGTCCTCTGCGTCCACTTCGACGGCGTCCATCGAGCCTGCTGTGCACACCAACTCGACTGGCGGCAACATGGATAAGTGTTCCGCGGCCGCTTCTCGGTCCCTAACCCATCCAACGGTGAACATCATAAAAATGAGTAATGGCGTCGTCAAGACGACGCATGGTGGATATGGGTTCACGCGTTCCACATATGGTTGCAATGTGGCCACTTTTCGATGCGACCTTCTCGAGTGCGGTGCAACCTTGAAAACATATTACACCAATGGCCGATACCACGTGAAGAATGCCGAGCCTCACGACGAAGAGTTGCACGTGCGGGGTTTTCGTCGTCCTCCTGGAGGCGGTGATCGGACCCCGTCCATTCCGGGAGAAGGTGGAAAACGCAAGGCGCCCTCCTGCGCGGACAAGGTAAAGAGGTGGCGCCTTTCCTGAATGCTCCTTGTAATATACAGGGTGTTTCACGAAAATTGGGCAAATTCGATACTGCGAAAACTACGCGTCGCAACAACAACAAAAAAAAAAGGCTTCTGTCGTTTTGTCCCTGGGCCAGGGGCTTACTTAGGAAAAGTATTAAAGTCCGGGATAATTAGGGTGTTAATTGGTTTTGCGTAATTTATTTTTTAATATTGTGTTTAAGGACATGATTTCAATTAAAAAATTGCTCAGCATCATCAAAAAACACTAAATCAACAAATCACAGAACGATAGAGGGAAGCGAAGCATTTTGGGGCTCTCTGAAAAACCGCACCAATTCGACAGGTTCTTAAGTTTCGGTTTGCAATCGGACCACATCTCGACTCTGAGAGCATCGCGCCCCATGGAGAGATAGTGCAACCTGCCTTTAATGCGCTGCGTGAGGACAGCGCAGCAGAGGTTGATTGCACCATTTCTCCACGGGGCGCGGTGCCATCGGGGTCGAGATGCGCTCCGATTGCAAGCCGAAACTTAAAAACCCGTCGAATTTGTACGGTTTTTCAGAAAGCCGTAAAATGCTTCGCGTGCCTTCTATCGTTCTGCAATTTGTTAATTTAGTGTTTTTCAATGATATGGAGCAGTTTTGTTAATCAAAACCATGTCCTTAATCACAATATTAAAAAATTAATTACGCAAAGATAATTAAGAATCTGTTTATCCTAGACTTTAATAGTTTTCTTAAATAGGCTTCTGGGCCAGGACCAAAACGACACAAGCGTTTTTTTTTGTGACGTGTAGTTTTCGCTATATCAAATATGTCAATTTTTTGTGAAAACACCCTGTAGATCCTTTTTAAGATTCCACAAGGCAGCATTGGCGGTCTCCATTGCTTGGACACGATGCGCGTGATTGGACCCGAGTTGACGCCGAACTCTGAAGTCACCCTCATGTCCAATCTATGCTCAGAGTATGTCAGCAAGCAATGGCAGACAGGCGTTGTCGCCGACTTTGGAGGAGGGTCTAGCGTGGAACAGAAAACATCGCAAAACAAACATTTCTTATTCCAGATACATATGGTTGAAACTTAATATTGTACGGATTATAGTCTTTTGCGTACGCTTCTGCGCAGCACGTTTATATCACTAGAAGAGGGTCTACGAGGGTCTACGAGCGGAATCATAAAACGATTTCTTCACTTCGGTTGTTTGGTCAAAGGAACCCATACAAAAATGGTCTATGGTCGTCTATGAAAAATTGTATGGCAGGCTATCTCCCCCTATGGCCTTCTATGTCGGCCATAGAAATTCATAAATGCAGCTACAGCCAAGTATAGAAAAACCTATCACCCTGTGTCTAAAGCCTGGGAATTATTAATGTTTCTTTACCCGCCTTAAGAAAGTTCTATGGCCCCGTGAACTGTGAACCATTAAAGTTTCTTTACCCCCTATAGAAAATGCTATGGCCCCGAGTCTAAAAACTGGGCCCCAATAAATGTTCTTTACCCGCCTATAGAAAATGCTATGGCCCGAGTCTAAAGGCTGGGAACCAATAAATTATTTTTACCCGTCTATAGAAAATTTTATGGCCCTTACTCTAAAGACTAGAAACCAATCAATTTTCTTTACACGCCTATAGAAAATTATTGCGTGGCGTGTGTCTTGCGAGAATCACGCCGTACGTGCCCACTTCGCTTCGAGATCGCGGTTTTTTTTATGGTGGATGAAACCTTGCTGCTGCGATAAGTACAGGTGGCGATTTATCACTGGCAGGGAAGGTACGACCACTTTCTTCGCGTTGCTTGCTGCATGACAAGTAGACATTGTAATCCTGGAGCGAGGGAACAAAAAAAAAAAAAAAGACAGACACCAAACTATATTTACCCTTCTACCCTGTGGGAACCCTCTCCCTGGCTCCTCCGCTCTCCGTGACCTTGCCGGTCCCCGCCGCCTTTCTGTCGGGCGCTCCTTCGTTCCCTGTGACCTTCCCGTTTCCAGTCGCCGTCCTGTCGCGGAACGTCCGAGCTCTCCGGGAGGAACGGGGCAAGCGCCCCCTCACCCAGCGCTGACGTCGGAGGGTCGGCTCGCAGCAAGGTTCCCGATTGGACGGTCGGCCGGACAAGGACTTGGGAAGGTCTTAAAAGGGGGAACGGAGACAAAGGAAGAGGGCTTGGGCGGCCGACGAGACAAGGGACCGGTCATGGAGGCGAGCTCGGACGGCGCTGGACGCTGGCGCAGGGAGTGCGGGCACTACGTCTAGTGGCGGACTCGACAAACGGACCGGACAGCGACCCTGGACGACGACGTCCCCATGACGCGGTGTGGACGACCACCGCTGGGACTCGGAGAAGCTGCTCGGGCAGCGGACTCTCCCCCGGCCTCGCTGATGACCGTCCCCCGATCCCGAAACCCCCCAAGGCAATGAGTGAGTGAATAAACCCTTTTGTCGAGAGCGAAGCATTGCAGTGTCATATTCATCCGGAGACAGGGTTTGTGGGAATCGGAGCTAGAAGATGCCCGCATAAACTGGCGCCGCAACGTGGGGCCTGATTTTTGATCAGGCACGCATTCCGATTCCTAACCTGTTTCCGGTTGAATTGGGGCACTGTTTCGCGCTCTTTTTGGGGGTCATCTTTGTCGCGGGAGCGCCGCACGAAGATTCGTTGCGGGAGCGCCGCACGGAGGCCCTGACATTATCGCCTGTCTGACTAGGAGGCGCGGTTTTTGACCGCTGTTTTAAGGGATTAACCCTTTTCCCCAGCTTGTCAGTAATTCGCCTATCCCCCGTTACGAGAAGCGCTTTGAGTGTTTGCTGTTCAGCGCACCGTTCGATGCTGGCAGGTTGATCCTGCTACGCAAGAGCGCTGTGTGCGTCGAAATTACCGCACCCCTCGAGGCATGTAGCGTCGGGCGTCACCCGACCTACGCCTCCGGCCGTCCACGTCTGCTGGGAAAGATGCCGGCTCACGCTTCGGGGGATGTGACGCGCCTAACCGCCTTTGTTCGCGTATCAATGTAATGGTTTGTAACGCTTGTTACGGATCGGACGCGTTAAAGAGGCATCGCTTTGGGTGGAGAACGCTCCCATTGCGGATGGCGGTTGCATGGACTGTGTTTGGAAATTATTCCCGCATTGCATTTTGTCCGGGAGGAGACTAGCGTCTCGGTTTGACCGCATGCTAGCTCCCAGTTGGCCTTGCTTGAGCTGTCGGCGCGGTTTTGAGCGTCGTTAGTTGACAGCGTTTTAAGGTACGGATGCGCTCTTGTGGTTCCGACCAAGATCGCTTTGAACGAGTACCTTGTGGCCAGAGGCTACATTTAGGGGCTGAGCCCACTAAATCGTGCCGGGTACGCGATGTCCGGTGCGTAGACATCGGAATCCCGAAAACCACCGAGTTTCCGTTTTCACTTTATCAGTGGCTGTGCGTGTGTAATGCTCCTTGGAGTCCAGTGTGACGCGATGGGCATGACCCGTGCGTATCTGGTTGTAGAGTCGTGAGGTTGATCCCGTTTGATTGTGCGCACAGTTGGTTCCGGATCCTCACACCGCCATATCGATGGTTGAGCCTCGAGGCGGGAGTTACTCTTTATTTCGTTTTCTCCGTCTCCGGAGGAGCGGCGGCCAGCGCGCGCTTTGCGCTGCCGCCGGATACGGCTCTCGGCCGCGGTTGGGTTCGCGTTGGGACGCGAGGGCGTAGAGAGCGTAATTGGTCGTGCAGAGACCTGGGTTAGAGATAAATTATAAATTTAGGGGAGAAAAGACAGCTAGGTGAGGAAAAAGCTGGGCTCGTGCAGTGAAAACCTGCACGAGGCGAGTGGCGGTCTTGCGATGATGTGACGAGTTGTTCATAGTTTTATCCTGTACAGATGCGCGGTTGGCCCGGGAAAACGTACGGTTCACGTCGGCGGGTACGTGCCCGGGAAGCCTAGAAATTATGGCAGCGGCATGGCCGTCGGCGGCCTATAACTGTTGTGCGTTGGGTCAGCCCGTCGCTGTACTAACTGCAGCCTTTGCATGAATGGGTAGCGGGTGTTGGAATGCGGCGGTAAATGCTGTAGACACTTCGACGCTGCGGAAACTGTTTATGCGGAGCAAACATAGTTTATTAGCTCGTCCATTTCCAAGACCGGCCGGTTAGATTATTTCGCATTTCGGTATCGCGCTCGTTGTGTGGAAGTTGAAAGGTGCGTGTGTGGGATACATACATTGTTCGAACCCTGCCTGTCCTCACAGTCGCAAGAAGACTTTTCAGTCATGCGGCGTGTTGACTTGGCTGGGGGCGAGCTTTGTGCGCAACCTACTGCGTTTGTATGCGGACACGTTGCTCGATTCGAGAACGTCGAAGAGTCGCGAGACGCGTGGACGGCGTACCTTTATTGCTCCATCCCGGCCGGCCTTGACATCAGCTGGAAGACTTTTTAGTTATGCGGTGTCGGGGTTCGGCCGGTGGAGAACTCTAACGTGCTTCGATGCGCTTGTCGCGGTTGTCAAGCCCGTGCGGGGTTCGGTGCGGGCCGCCGTTACGCGCTCGTCGCTCCTGTTGGGTGGTCACCTCCGAGCGGTGAAGCGGTAACGTCTGGTAGATGCCCAGACGTTACGGACATAGCTTTGTAAATAGGCTGTCCAATTAGATCTGCTGTTCGCACGATCCAGGTACTGTTCCCTTTGTACTGGTGTAAGTGGCCGGTACCACGGAACAACGGCCTCTCAGTAAGGTGATTACCCCTTCTGATGAAGGCGTGCTGCGCAGCTTGGCTGTAGGGTGTTTGTAGCTCGGGTAGCGTGAACGCCGAGTGCATGAGTGCCCGTCATGGGTTGTTGGCAGCGTGTTTTTTCGAGTCGCACCTCGCGAACGGGACTGGATTTGTGACGGTTTCTGTTTTACGGAAGGTTATTCTTAGTTTTTGAGGTTTTGTGCGTTCTTCGCGAGTGTGTTGGAGATTAATATTGTTGTCAGAGGTGTGCGGTTCTGACGCTCTGGTAGATTGCTTACTGTT